TTAATTACAATTCTAAAAGAATATCTGCAACCGAATATTAGCACAGAAATCCACTGCATCCCTGAAGTATTGTACGAAATTTTAATTCCACTAAAAGATAATTTTACAAATAAATTTCTATATACAACAATTTTTGTTCAAGATATAACAAATTATGAAGATAAAGCAATAATAATAGAGGAAACCCATTGTCGAGCTCACAGAGAATTAGATGATAATTATAAACAAATCAGTAGCCTATTGGCCAAACTTATACAAAAAATTAAAAGAATATATCACAAATTGCGAAATTTGTAATACAAATAAATACAACAGAAATCCAACACAAATCCCTATCGGAGAAGATCCTATTCCAAAAATAGGTCAACATTTAACTTGCATCGATTCTTACTCTAAATACCTCGTTGTAAAAGAAATTAGTAACGAAAAGAACATTAACTCAAAAGTATACGAATTACTTCAAATATTTCCACTAGTAAAAACAATTATGACAGATAACGAGCCGAGTTTCGTATCGGCACAGTTTAAATCTATTTTACATCGTTCGGGAATATCAATTCATTATTGTAGGGGTCCGAGTTATGTTATTATTAAAAATACACTTTGGATATATTAATTTTAAATATGTCTTTATTTTTGTGTCCACACTCTACGCTTGTAAAACGACGACTGACTCGATGACGACTGACTCGATGAAATATCGATATACCTACATACTTATAACATCTGCATACATATGTTATACATAATTATAACAGTGATCGTTGGCCTTATACTTAACTTAGAAATATACTTGTTATTATATTTATTATACATGTGCATTTGCAACTATAAATAGTAACGTAACAGGCGATCCTGCTACAATTCGGCCTTCCTGACAACTAAGATCTCCTGATCTTTACGAATTACAATCATCTTCTTATACACTACTTACAATAATTTTAACTTTTCGTATTTTTATTAATCCAAGGTTTTATATTTTGGCTACTCCATATACCCTTGTACGGGTTACGTGTCAATTGGAAACCCTCCACATCTTTTATTAAAAATCTATCATATCTCAAAATCTTGTCTATCATATATGGCCCTTTATGTTTTGGGATTAACTTTCTTGATTGTCCTGGAGTGCTGTCAAAATTTTTAACCATTATATAGTCACCTATTTTGTACCCAGCAACTTCTTTCCTTTTATCATTATAATGTTTTTCGTTGTTCATCTGTGCTTCTTTTTGCTTTTGAGCTGCTTCTCTTCGAATTTTATTTAAGTCTCTATTTTCCTCTACATTTTCCATTTCCTCAAGTTTTTGTTTTAGTTCATCTACAACTTTTCCCTTTTGTTCAATGCCAAACAACATCCTACTTGGAATTTGTCTGATACTTTTTTGAATTGTATTGTTGAGTGAGTATTCTACGTTTTCAATCACTGTGTCCCAGTGCATACCTTTCTCAGAATCAGTTAACTTAGCTATCATTGGACCCAAACTCCGATTGACCCTTTCTACTTGGCCATTGGCTTGCGGTGATCCCGTTGCAATTTTAACATGCTTTATACATAATTTATTTAAAAATTCCGCGAATTCTTCTGAAGTGAAACAGCTACCCCTGTCTGACACAATGCATACTGGTCTACTATAAGCACGAAAATAATCTGATAAAGCTACTATAACTTCCTTGGTCTTTGTCGGATACAGCCTTATAAATTTAGTAAATCCATCTATAACAACAAACAAATGCTTTTGAGATCTTCCTGCATCAATTGGTCCGTAATGATCTATGTGTACAAGCTCAAATGGTTTATTTCCCTTCGGAATACTGTGTAACAATCCCTCACTTTTTCCGGATTTAGGCGAATATGCAATACATCTTAAACAATTTTCTATATGCCTCACAACCTTTTCCTTCATTTTTGGGAACCAATATGTCTTCACTATTGCATTTATAGCTTTGTCCCTTCCAACGTGCCCAAACTCATTATGATATTTAAACAGTACCATTTCTACCATTTCCTCCGGAACATAAAATAGTAATCTACCGTCATTTACTTTTCTATACACCACCCCATTTCGCATCTCAAACAGTTTGTCTTCTGATTTCTCTAATTTCTGTATTAATTCTTTTATTTTACTATCTCTGTGTTGACAAATTATTAAATTATCCTCAAAGCTATTAGTTTCAATTACGCATATATTTGAACATCTGCTTAACGCATCTACATGCTGCATTCTCTTTCCTGGCCTGTGCTCTAAAACAAAATCATATTCTAATAATTCTAACGCCCATCTAGCTATCCTTGGGTTCAACTCGACTTTGTTTAATGTTAGCGCTAACGAATTACAATCTGTGACTACCTTAAACTTTTTTCCTTGAACATAAATCCGAAACCTCCTTAGCGCATAAATAATTGCTAATGTTTCTAATTCGAAACTATGAAATTTAGCTTCATCTTTTGTGGTAGCCTTGGAAAAAAAAAATATAGGATGTAGTTTATTATCATCTTTTCTTTGAAACAAAACCGCCCCAAAACCTAATTTGCTGGCATCTGTGTGTAATTCTACTTCATCCTTATAGTGGTATAATGCTAAAACTGGCGCTTCTACTAACTTTTCCTTTAAATTATTAAAACATTCTAATTCCCTTTCCCCAAACGTAAATTCTTTATCCTTCTTAAGTAAATCATACATCGGCTTAGCTATCGTTGAAAAATCCTTTATAAATCTCCTGAAGTAGGAGCATAACCCCAGAAAACTCCTAACTAAATGTACCTTGTCCGGGACAGGGAAATTTTGCACTGCTTCTATGCCTTTATTATTTGCCTGTATTCCTTTGCTCGTAATAACAAAACCTAAATACTCTACACTCGATTGTAAAAATTCGCACTTGTTCATCCTTAATTCCAATTTATTCTTTACTAATCTGTTTAATACCTCTTTCATTGTTTCATAATGTTCTTCTAAATTCTCACTAGCTATCATAATATCATCCATATATATCGTCAAAAATTTTGTTGATAAACCTTTGAAATACCGCAGGAGCATTTTTCAACCCCATTGGCATTCTCAAAAACTCGTATTGACCTAACGGTGTAATGAACGATGTATACTTGACTGACTCCTGATCAACAAATACATGAAAATATCCGTGCTTTAAGTCTAACTTTGAAAAGATAGTTTTATTAACAAGCCTGTCCAACAAATCATCAATTAGTGGCAACGGATAGTTGTCTTTCGTTGTTACTTTATTCAATTTTCTATAATCTATGCATAACCTTAGATCCCCTGATTTTTTTCTTACCAGCACTATAGGTGAACCGTATTCTGATTCACTTGGTCTAATAATGTTATTTTTCAAATATTCATCCAACAATACGAGGTGTGTTCAAAAAGTAAGGTGACTTTTCAAATTTCGCGGGCAACATATTTTCGATTATCGATTTTTTTGTTTTGTTATATTGGTACACTCTTCCCTAACATCTGTACCAAGTTTCAATGGAACATCCTCTTTTTTTTGGTTGTGAGAGGCGTAAAGTTACAAGTTATTTTGCGAGCTCGGCGATTTTTTGCTATCGAAAAATATGGATCAAAGGATTTGCATCAAATTTTGTGTAAAAAATAAAATTAAGTGCTCTGAAACACTTGAAATGTTGACAGTGGCATACGGTGAAACTGTTCTGAGTAAAAAAAATGTGACGTCATTCAACAGCTCTTGAGCGATGCTCATGCGACGGTTCTTTTGGTCAAAATTCAGCAATTTCGGAACAAACTTCGCTGACACACGACTCATACCCAAAACGTTTGAAAAAATTTCATGGCACGAGCCAAGCGATATACCGACATCTTCAGCAACTTCTCTGATAGTGATTCGACGATTTTCCAAAACAATTTTCGTCACTGCTTGAACGTTTTCATCAGTTGTTGACGTGCTTGGGCGTCCAGAGCGAGGCTGGTCATTGGCATCTTCCCGGCCATCTTGGAAGAGTTTGTACCACTTGTACACATTTTTTTTACTCAGAACAGTTTCACCGTATGCCACTGTCAACATTTCAAGTGTTTCAGAGCACTTAATTTTATTTTTTACACAAAATTTGATGCAAATCCTTTGATCCATATTTTTCGATAGCAAAAAATCGCCGAGCTCGCAAAATAACTTGTAACTTTACGCCTCTCACAACCAAACAAAAGAGGATGTTCCATTGAAACTTGGTACAGATGTTAGGGAAGAGTGTACCAATATAACAAAACAAAAAAATCGATAATCGAAAATATGTTGCCCGCGAAATTTGAAAAGTCACCTTACTTTTTGAACACACCTCGTACTTGTAATTTTTCCTTTTCCATATAAGATAATCGTCTTGGCGAACAACTAAACGTTTTGGAATTTTCTAAAGTCAATTTAATATCACATTTTACTTCGGGATTTTCTGGTCTTGGTTTACTTATATACTCATCCTCCAATATTTTAATAAACTGACATCGAACCTTGTAATCTACTTTTTCATCTATTCTATACTCATGTGCATTCTCATCTATATTTATATTTAATAATTCCCTCTCAACTTCGTTAAATGTTTCTTCTTTTTCCAATTCATTACTAGAATTTTCATTATTTTCATAAAAATTTTCGTCCTTCTTAACACCATATTCTTCATAACAATTTTCTTCCTCTTCTTCCATTTCATAACATTCTTCTTCCTTTTCGTAATATTCTTCTTTCTCTTCATAAAATTCTTTTTCTTCTTCCTTTTCACAATCTTCTTTTTCTTCATAAAATTCTTTTTCTTCTTCCTTTTCATAATCTTCTTTTTCTTCATAACAATTTTCACCTTCACAACTATTTTCTTCTTTTTCATAGGAATTTTCAGCTTTTACATAACAATTTTCATCTTCATAACTATTTTCTTCTTTTTCATAACAATTTTCATCTTCATAACTATTTTCTTCTTTTTCATAACAATTTTCATCTTCATAACTATTTTCTTCTTTTTCATAACAATTTTCAGCTTTTTCATAACAATTTTCATCTTCATAACTATTTTCTTCTTTTTTCGCTTCAACAGTAATTATTTTTAAATTACATAAGTCTAAATTTATGTTGCACGCTTCCATGAAATCTCTTCCCAAAATAGCATTATGACTCATAGATTCTTCGTTCACAATTATTAAATGAAAATATACTTTATTAGAGTTTTTGATAATGTGACATAATATTTTTCCTTTAGTTTGCAAATAACTTTTATTTAGACCATAATACCGCTTGTCCTCCGGCAATACTTCAATATTCCTGGGTACCATACAAGTTTTAATTAAAGAAATCGGACTACCCGAATCTATGAGGCATTCTACAATTATTGGGTTATTAGAAAAATGTACAAAATGTATTTTAACATGTCTTACGTAATTGTTGTCAGCTCTCTTGTTGCTTTTGTTCTGTGCACATTGTCCTACCCAGTGTCCCATTTCTCCGCAAGCAAAACATGATCCGGGCTGTCTTTTCGGCTTCAGACAATTTTTAGCGAAGTGGCCTCTAGCATTACAGTTGTGGCACCGAATTTCGTTGCCAACAGCTCGATCCACCGACGCAGCCTCTTTTTCGGGTACGTTCGTTCGCTTCTTCGGTAAGTACACCTCTGCAAACGCTTTTCTCATATGTGCGACATCCCGAAAACATTGAATTCGCGCTTGGTTGCGCAAATTTCCGTTTGGTATGCCCTCAATAATTCGATCTAGTAGTTCTTCTTGATCCAAACTGACGTTCTGGGCTAGCATCAGCTTTTCATCTAGGTACTTTCCAAACTTCTCATCAGATTGCCAGATACGAGACTCGAATATCCGGCGCTTTTCTAACTTCGACTGCGTTTCACCGAACATCGAAATCATCTGGTCGCATAGGTCATCCATTGGTTGCAAGGCCCGACTTGGATTCTCGTATAACCAGGTGTTAACTTTGCCTTTGACCTTGCTTACGAAAAGCATGCGCATTTGAGTTCCAGTAATTCCATAAATATTGGAAATATTTTTCATTTGCGCTATCCACATGCGAGCACAGGTCTGTCCGTCGTATACACTCAAAGCTTCCACCGCCATCCTCCAAGACATTTCGCCGTTGATATTTTCGCCTTGTCCGTTTTCGTTGGCCATTCGGTTCTGATTATTACGGCTCTGCATCATTTCTTCTACTTCTGCATGGCCTTGAATAGTCGAGTTGCGTGTTTGCTTTGGTGTCAATAAATGTAGTTCGACGCTTTGCATTAGCTGGCGCAATTCACTGACAATATCGACGTCTCTTTCTGTCTTGCGCACCTCGACGTGCAGTTGCTCGTTCTCTTGCTGGTTCTCCCTTTCTTCGTCTTCGTTGAAAGAATCCGTTAGGTTTTCGGCTTGATTATTTGCGTCGTCTCCTTTGCCATACAGTCCCAACAATAACTGTTCTTCTTGCTGTTGGCCGGTTTTTGCCGACTTCGAAGCAGCCACAAAATTGTGCATTTCTTTTTGAATGTCATGTGCAAATTCATCCGTATTGCTCATTGTGTTCAATCTCAGAATTAATTCGTCTTTAGTGCCCGTTGTTGGCATATTTAGCACTTCTAACCATCTCTTTAACTGCACTACTGACACTGAGTTTAACACCGAATTGTTATTCATTCTGGTTACGCCCACTTCTGAATTTGTAGGGGTCCGAGTTATGTTATTATTAAAAATACACTTTGGATATATTAATTTTAAATATGTCTTTATTTTTGTGTCCACACTCTATGCTTGTATAACGACGACTGACTCGATGACGACTGACTCGATGAAATATCGATATACCTACATACTTATAACATCTGCATACATATGTTATACATAATTATAACAGTGATCGTTGGCCTTATACTTAACTTAGAAATATACTTGTTATTATATTTATTATACATGTGCATTTGCAACTATAAATAGTAACGTAACAGGCGATCCTGCTACATTATACAAACCCTAGACATGGCCCATCCAACGGACAAGTTGAAAGAGTTCATTCAGCCTTAACAGGAATAGCTCGTTGTATTAAAGACAAGTAACTCCTCCTAGATTATTCTGAAATTATTACAAGAGCAGACAAAAATTACAATTTCACAATTCACTCAGTGTCAAACTAAAAACCGTACGACATCTTATTTAATAAAATAAAACATAGCGACTTACCAGTCAAATTACAGATAGCACAAACTAAAATGTAAGATCATCAAAATAAAAATAATTACAAAAAAAATTATCGCGTAGGAGAAGTAGTATACGAAAAAAGATTCGGAGAAAGAAACAAACTAGGTCCAAAAACAAGACATTCAGGAAAACTAACCAAAGAAAGTAATAATTAATAATAGAAAAAGAGTTATTCATAAAGATAATATCTCATATCATCTCTTACAGACGATTACTTTTTGCCACTCGGAAATTATTGACTACACTAACAACTAGTATTTACTACTAAAAAAGGAAAACGATGTAATGACTTACGACTCCTTTGAGAACCTATTCCATATTACTAAATTAAGTTTTTACAAATAAATAATTCAAATTGAAAATAGTATTCGTACTAAAAGTCTGAATTCTGAATTAGACATTGCACACAAATTTAAACATTATTAAAATCCGTTGACTTCCAAAGTGAACGGTCGTGTTTTTTTTTCTGCGCTCCGATTTTGTATTTTTGTTTCGTTTATTCCCATCGGTGGGTTTTATGAAAACAATTTTTATTTTCTTACAGTTAATTCAAACATACATTTAAATTCCGTTCGCTTCGCGAGTGAACTATAAATCTTTGTGCACTTGTGTAATAACATTGTTTTAATTTCGTAATTCTGTTCTGTGTTTTCTTTTCTTGGAAACCCGCCGTTCTCTTTTGTGCGTTGACCGTCGTAAGTCGTAGTGCTGTTTATACCCGTTACTCGTAGAGTAAAAGGGTATATTGTATTCGTGCAAAAGTATGTAACAGGTAGAAGGAAGCGTTTCCGACCCTATAAAGTATATATATTCATGTCCGTCTGTCCGTCTGTCCGTCTGTCCGTCTGTCTGTCCGTCTGTCTGTCCGTATGAACGCTGAGATCTCGGAAACTATAAAAGCTAGAAGATTGGCATTTTGCATGCAGATTCTAGGAGTTCCTACGCAGCGCAAGTTTGTTTCAAAAAGGTGCCACGCCCCCTTTAACGCCCACAATCGCTTAGATACGATTTTAAAAATTTAAATGTTTCGGAAAAGTAAAAATGCAGTGCTATTGTGTTTATCAATACCTATCGAAATGTAGAAGAAATTTTTCAAATCGGACCATTCGTTAAAAAGTTATGCGTGATCAAAGTTTCTATCTCCATCTCCCTCGCACTCCCTTTACCTGAGTAACGGGTATCTGATAGTCGGGGCACCCGACTATAGCGTTCTCTCTTGTTTTAGTGTTGCTTTTGCTTGCACTTTAACTAATTTACGCTCCCGCTCTCTCGCTCTCTCTCTGCTTTGAAAGTTCTAAGCGTGCAGTTTCTGCGCTCTTGCGGTACTTATAAGTGCTCGCTTATAAATTTCAATTCGTTTTCTTGGTACAGTGGATCCAATAGATAAAATGAATAATAATAATTTAGTCTGCTTCTGGAAAAAATGCAGCCTCGTGATCAGAGCTGACCAGTCTAATATGACTTGCTGGCTGTGTGAAAATATGGAGCGCACCAAGTGCGCCGGTTTTACTGGCCGGACAAGTGATGACCTTTCAAAGGGGCCCAATTTGCAGTTTTGTTGTGATGCTTGTGTCGAGGTTGCGAACGAGATGAAATCGTTCATGCGCCAAACTAAAGGCGGCCTGATGGGGCTGATTAGCTGTTTCGGAGTTGCTAGAGATAGTTTTTGCCGAGCTGATGATCTCCTCTCTGCGCTGGATTCGCAGTTTAATAGTCGTAAGCTATTAGAAGAGTCCCCTAAGCGCAAAAAGGCCGCTGGTGGTAAGGAGCAATAGGGGAACACCCCACAACCGAAATCAAAAGAACAACAGAGCATTCCGGCCGATCAGCAGCAGATTGCAGCAAACCCTCAAATGTTGCTAAGATCAGCAGCTAAAAAAGATTCGGTATCCTAACAATCCGTACCAGAATGCATGCAACCAGGGACTTCTAAGAATTACGATTTGTCCGTAGTGGATTCACAATTAGCGGATCCACCCATCTCTCAGAATGTAGCATCACCACCACAAGGGACTACTGAGTCCGGACCACCGGCTCAAGTTGGTTTTGCAGAAACAATGTAACGACCCTGTTTTGGGAGACGGTATAGCTCGCCGTGGTTAGGGTTCGTGACAGATATTTATATTTTTCCTCTATAGATCGATTTACCTCCCTTTCCCCAATAATGACACAGAGGGATAGAACTATAAAGGAGACGTGTATTTCGAAGTAATAGTACAATATACGTTGGTCGTGTGGTTTGTATAGATGAGTCGGGACTGCTTGCTTTGTCGATTCGGCGCTTCGGAAGGGCCGAGCCGAACTGAACTGCTTGTTGTCGTGATCCGGCGCTACGAAAGGGACGAGTGATAAACTGTTTGTTGTCGTGACCCGGCGCTAAGGAAGGGCCGAGTGATGAACAGCTTACTTCGTGGAGGTTGATCGGTGAGCTGCTTTCTCCGTGATCTGGCGCCAAGCGGTTCACAGCATACTGCGAGCTTCGGTGCTGCGGATGGGCCGAGAAGTGGACTGCTTCGTCGTGCGTACGTCGGGTTCGTAGTGTTCTGGGTCGTTGGGAGAGATCTACTTGGATTTCTAGTGGGATTCGGGAATGTAGGGCATCGTTAGTTTCGGTCTGCCGGGCATCGTTAGGTTCGAACTGCCGTTCTACATCCGTTTCGTTTCCGGGTCGGGAGCCGGAAACGTGACATCTGGGCGAACTCACTGAGGTGGGCCTGTCTTACGTAAACCGGGCCGCCTCAGTGATCACGACTGGGTCTAGGCTGATTTCTGGGAACCCAAACCGGGACGCCAGTGATTCTCACTAGGTCGCAGAACCGATTTAAAAACCGAGTTCTTACGGATCCACCACCAATACCAAGACTATCTACCAGAACACTTACCCGGATATTTCTCCTTGTTGCTGATGTTTCCTCGATGATCGTCGGAACTCAAGTCCCTCATGTGGGGCATGATACAATAGCATAAGGTAGTCTCGTCGGCAAAATCTGGTACCTCTACTATTATAACAATGAATGCGAGTGAACTGTTGGGAACTGTTTAGTAAGAGCGAGCAGAGCGACAATAGAATATGTGGATTAAACCTTAGATGGTTCAGGGGTTTTTTTTTGCCTTTCATAATAAAAGCAGTTTAATTTTTTTTTATAATTTAATTTTTAATAATTTGGAATTTGAAATTAGGCGTTGTTTTCGTCTTTAAATGCCTTTTTGTTAAGATTCTTAATTCTAAAATATATTCTAATCTTAAAATAAAACTGTTTTATGTCCAAACTTATACTAACAATTTCGGCTGTGATTATTAAAGTTTCTTTTACATTCTTTGTTATTTTAAAAGTATCCCAGCAATTCCTCCCTTTTTTCCAAACATTTCGGTGCCTTTAAAAATTTTAAGCCATCGACGTGTTTGCGGCACACATTGCAAAAAGTCATGTTGCTCAAGGGTTAATTCTGTAAAAAAATTCGTCCGCAGACAACCTTTTCCTTCAAAAAACGAACACGCACAGACCAAAACCCGAACGTTTAGACAGCCATAGACTAAGAATCTATATAGAGGTTTCATTTGCTCTGCCCGGGCCTCTGCCAAAGCTCTGCTGGGAGCCATGTTCGAAGCTAACTTCTTCTAACTTCGGTTTGGGGAGTTTTCGCACCAATCCTTAGGAATAAGAGCGACCAGTGGAGCAATAGGTATTCACCATGGGAATCGATTCCAGTTCGATCGAACAATTGAAAAACTCTCTTTTTTTCCGTTTTTCCCCTACGTAGCATCACTGGCAAAGTCACTCGTGAGCGCGTGCAGAGCAAATGAAACCTCTATATAGATTTTTACTCTATGAGACAGCCGACGAGACTACCTTATGTTATTGTATCATGATCTGGGGCATAGAGCAAGAAACTATATAGAGGTTTAATTTGCTCTGCCCGGGCCTCTGCCAAAGCTCTGCTGAGAGCCATGTTCGAAGCTAACTTCTTCTAACTTCGGTTTCTCACCACTTCTAACATGTGCAAAGCACAAGCAATAGTATGGGGAGTTCTCGCACCTATTCTTAGGAATAAGAGCGAGCAGTACAGCAATAAGTATTCACCATGGGCATCGATTCAAGCTCGATTCGAACAAATGAAAAACTCTCTTTTTTGCAGTTTTTCCCCTACGTGGCATCACTGGCAAAGTCACTCGAGAGCGCGGGCAGAGCAAATGAAACCTCTATATAGTTTCTTACTCTATGTCTGGGGTCTTGCCTCTGCGTATATAAGCCCCGTTGAGTGTGCCCAGAGCGGTCGATGTCGAGAATCCCGATATCGATAACTCGTTATCGGGACACGAATATAGCGATGGTAGTCGACTTTCGATGTATCGGTGGAGTTAGTATGGCCAGGTTTGGTAGTCGACTATCGATATATTAGTGTGGGCAGCTTATTGTCTTGGGCGCGCGTTTTGAAAGTGTACGATTTTGGCGCGTGTTTTGAATGTGGTGTGGCGTAGGGAGAATAAAAGATCATGTTCATTTATTATTTGTGACGCTGGGTCGTCACAACAATGTCT